ACGCCCACCTAGATTTTGACCAGCAGAGATGGTGGAAAGCAAGAACAGTGGTAGATACATAAACATACAAGATATGACTAACTAGAATACCCAAACAGGGAAGCCTTGACTATCATTGTGAATGACCTTGTGAATGAAGTCCCATAGGCAGTGAGGAAACAGGGATAAAATGACTGGCACCTGGTTGTCAGGTATAGATGAAATTAGGGCAAGGAGGCCCTGAGGCAGGGAGATGAGTTAGGAGAGTCCGAAGGGCCAAAGCAAAGAAACAAGAGAATACATTCCTGTGACTTTAAGAAGGTGGGCTACAAGGGATTTGAATATGTGTTTGTTCAGGAGACAGTCAAGACGGTAAAGAAAAGGAAGGTGCCAGAAAAACCAGCAGGAGCAATAGCTCATCTAGAATAGCTCATCTAGATGGAGATTTTCAACAGTGAGTTGAAAATATGCCTCAAGGGAGAATAGATACAAATGTGGAAGCACTGGTGCTGAGTCCTAAGGATCCCTGGGATTCTTGAGATAAACAGTCCTATCTTCTCTTTTTACAGTTTCTCTTAAAAATTTTATTTCATTCTTAGCAGAACATTTTTCTTTAGGAAGTAGGAGGAGATAATGCAACAAGGTAAGGGTCAGAGATGGAGCTCCAGGTGGTATGATATCAGAGAAGTCAAAGGAAAGGAGAGGTGTAAAGAGTGAGGGTATGAGAGATTAACTTCCTCAAACACTGCACTGGAGTTCAAGGGCATGAACACTAAGCAAAGACCCTCACTTCTAATTCTGTCATATACAATTAAGACACCTGGCATAGCACTTATTACATGATATTTTGCTTATTATTCTTCACCATTAGGTAGGGGCTACTTGATATTGTTGTGTTTTTTTTTTATTTTCAGTATGTTTTACTAATAAATCAGTGAATAAATGAGTGAGCACAAGAATGAAAATGTTAATTGTGGTGGAAAGAGTAGTTTCAGTAGACAAATGAGTGTAGAAGTCCAATTCCGATGCCTAAGATAAACTAATAATGGTAAGAAAAGTCAAGGAGATATGCTGAGATATATACTTTTCTTTTTCTTTTATATTTTTTTGACAAATTTCCACTTCATATAGTTTTCTTTTTTAAGGAAAAACCAAACAACCACCAAAATTCAAGTTCCTACAATTCTTGGCTTTAATTGTGGTTAAAAAAAAAAAAAAAAAAAGAACTGCCATTGTATCAGGAAATGATCTTTCAGACAGCCAGTTTAGAAGAGAAAGTTCTGCTAAGACATTTCTGTTTGAGATTGTTGACCCAGTGGAACTTTTGGAGAGATTCAGATTACAAGAAAAGCCTCTGACAGATATCTGTGAAAGCAAGATTAAAACAATAATGTACACAGTCGACTGGGGTCCAAGGGTTTGTAAACCAATGCCAGTCAGGATGCTCAGAGCTGGGAACAGTGATCTTCAGGCAGCCAGGTGAGACTAATCTGGAGAAGCTTTAGGAAGGAGATAAATTTAAGCTGTTTTGAAAGGGGACTATTCTAGTCAATTGGCAAAGAGTCTTAAAGCACAGGATTAGGAATTTTAATTTGATTACTCGAGGTAATTTGGAGCTACCCCAGCGTTTTGAGAAGACTCGTTATAAATGTTGTTGGGAAGATGATTTGTTTCCATGGCTCATAATCCTGGGTGCATATTAGAGTTACCTGGAGAGCTCTGAAAAATCCTGGCGCCCAGGCTGTGCTCCAGGGCAATTAAGTCTGGGGTGGCACCAAAGCATCAGTGCTTTGTTTCTTAAAGTTCTCTGGATGATTCCAACAAAGAGCCAAAAATTAAGAAGCACTGCTCTGAGTATAGGATAAATTGCAAGGAAACAAGAGAGAGACTAGAATTCGAAAGGTTAGCAAGAAGGCTGGAAATTGGGATCTGACCTAGCTTTGTGAGCAGAGATAAAAGGGGTGAAGCTAAATAAAGTATTCTGAAGGAAAACTTCGTTGCACTTGGTGATGCATGCCAGTTGCATTTTTAAATAAAGCTATCCTCCAGGAGTGTCACTGCTTTTACTATGATGGATTAGTTGAAAAACAAGCACACAGGACTTGCTTTTGCTAAAATTTGGGGCTTTTACTATTAGGAAAATTCCCAATTTCTGTAGGAGCAAAGCAGGCCAGAAAAGAAAATGTAACATGTTAAAAGTATATGTTGTTTATATTTAAAGGAGGAAACAAAATTGAGTGAGGGGTGCTCCTGAATTAAGAATCAAAATTCAGATTTTAAATTGAATTACTGTTAGGAGATACCAGGCTGTGGTAAAATTATGATCCCTTTAGAGTAACCTTGAAGGAAATGAAAAGTCAGACTATTAAGGACACTGAAGAGAAAGACCCACCATCATTCTCAATCATATCATTCCCCTTTCTTGGAACGAAGAATTTGTAACAGGTATGGGAAATGGATGGTGGTATCTCAGTACAATGACCTCTCAGAAAGCTGAGGTGGGAAGCAATGATGGGAGTTCCAATGCTTTGTTGAGAACACTTTAAATTTATCCTAGCATGTCCACCTTTAAAGTTTAGAGGAAGGGAAAAATGTTATAAAGTAGTATTATTTATAAAGGAAGTAGTGCTTCCTAATATAACTGTATATGCATATTTGATAAAATATAGACACTGAGAGAGGAACTTCACTGGCAAGAGCTTCCTGAAGGGAAGCAATCAAAGATAGTTATTGGAACAGAATCATTTTTTCTGACTCTAAGGATGAACCTGAGTCTTACAGCAGTGATAACCTCTATCTGATAGCTGCTGTCATTACTTAGAGAACAGATTTGGAACTGCAAATGAAAGATAATTGTTCCTGTATTCCTGCTCCCAAATGCTGGGTCTCTGGTAGATGAAGAGATAAGGCAGTTGGCCAGGAGTGGTAACCAGCTATAAGTCAGGTAGGTCTGCATGTAATTTGAGGGGCAGAGCCTCCCCTAACACTTCCTTCCTAAAACTTCCTCAGTCAACATCTTTTTACTTGCAGGGACCAGGGGTAGAGTAGGTAAGGACGTTTCCAGAAGACGCCTGAGAAAATTAAAGTGCCCTGTTAGGAATCAGTAACACATCTGGAAATGACATTCAGACCCCACCTCCCACACCAACCCCAGGAGCTTAGGGCAAGTAAGTAGCTGGGTCCACCGGGATGTGGTAAGGTAGGGGTCAGAAGGGAGAATACCTAGTTCACAAGCCTGGGTAGGGCACAGCAGGGAGGACCCATGGGTGTCCTGTGGGAAGCAAGTGAGCTTGGGGCAGCAAGAAAGACCTGAAAGGTCTTGCTGACACCTTGAGAAGACAAACCTCATCCTTCCACTTTGTCTCTGCCTTGGGCTCTGAGCCCACTCTGCTTCATTTCATCCAGCCAGCCTGACTACAGGGGACCCAAAGCTACTCTGTGCTCTGGCACGTTTGAGTCTCCTTAAATGCTTCCAATTACCTTTGCTTGGGTTTGCTGTTCCAGAAAAGAAGGTTCTAAATTAACACTGTACAAGGCCCCCCTGAATGTTGGTTTGCAAAATTAATGATCCTAATGGAAAAGGAAATTAATCTTTAATGCTTGGTTGAGGATAAAGACAAAAATCACTGTTTTGGACACTGGGCCTTCTTAATACATCTCATCAATAGTATTTTCTCTCTCCCTTCCATGCCTGCCACATTCACAAAGAGAGGAGACAATACAAATTATAACTCCATCTCTGAATTCAAAGGGCCATGATACACGCGCTTATTCTGCAAACATTTATCAATGGTCTGGTTTGTGCAAGGTGTCCGAGAAGCCAGGAAAGGCTGCACAGAGGAGGCCACCTGATACACGCCTCACATGTGAAGTTTGACTTGCACTTTCTGCAATCATGGTTTGAAAAGACTGCAGTAAGCATCTTGTAAGATGTAAATTACATTATTCAATTTAGGAAGAACACAGTTTTTCCAAAAGCCTCCCGTCACGGGTCTGAGGGTTCACAGAGGTCTTTTAAGGGGATCGGAAGTTCTCTGGCTGACTTGCTGTGTTTTTCTTGTCAGAAGTCTCTGCTGTAGTGCATTGCTCAGTTCCTCTCAAGTGAAAAATTAAATCTGCACTCTTGTCAAAATGTGTCATCTACACACCCGGACACTCATCATAGTTCACCCGGCTCTACACAGAGTCCAGGCTGAAAGGATGGCATGCCCTCCCCAACCCCACCCTTTCGAGGTCTGGGAAGCCCAGATGCTGGGGAGGAGCTGAACAACTGTGTCCAGGGAGTGTCTAGCAAAGCCGGCCCCGGGAGTTCTACGGCAGCCTCGGTGCTCTGAAGAGTCAGCGTTCATCCGTCTCCTCGGGTGTGAATCACACTGCCCGGTATGGCCTTTGGGAGAAAATTCATGAAGGACACAGTCAGCGCCGTAGAACCTGCCAAATACACATCAGAATCAGGGGTGTGTGTGAAGGGGGAGGGGGAGTTTTTCCAGAGGCTTTTCTTCCAGTTCCATTTCTCTTTTGTGCCTCAGGACCGGGTTCTTGAATGTAAAACTCTCAGAAAGGGCAGGGCGGGGCCTCTTTTATGCCCGCGGAGTATCTTGTCCAGCGGTAAACGCTGAGTGACAGCGGCGATTTCGGTTCGGGAGACCCAGCGGGGACTGGGTCCGACAAACCCTCTCTCGCGGGCACGGCAGCGGCCAGCGGGCTGGCGCAGTGCTGGGAGCCCCGCAGCTAGGCGGCCGGGCCCAGAGCGCAGTCAGGCGGGGCTCTCGGAGGCTGGGAGGGGGCTCCACCTGGGCGCCGCGCCGCGGCGGGAGGGGCGGGGCCCGGCTTCCCGGAGGCGGTGGCGCCTCCTCGCGCCCGAGCGCGCGAGCCGCGGCGTCCGGCGCACGCGCAAGGCCAGCAGGGAGCGCGCCCCGGCGGCGGGCGGCGGCGACGGCTGGAGGTGGAGGAGGAGGGCGGCTGAAGGGAGGCTGGCTGCGTGCGCCGAGGTAGCGGCGGGGGCGACCGGAGCTGGGGCGGAGTGGGGAGCGAGGGAGGGAGACGAGGGAGAGGGAGACGGAGGGCAGTGAGAGACGCATTTCCAATTCCCAACTACGAGCCCCGAGTTTGCAGATGGGGCTGCTCGGCGGTGCCTGTGGCTGAGGGAGAGCAGTGGCGGCGGGGAGCGACCGGGAGCGGCGGCGGCGGCGGCGCGGAGGCGGCTGAGGTGCGAGCCGGTGAGTTGTCGGGGCCCCCACCCCGCTCTGGTAACGGTCGCGCCGCGCGCCGGGCCGGCCGGGGGCGCCCTGTTGCTCGCCGCGGCGCGCCACGCGGGGACCCTAGCCCGCCCCGCCCCTCGGCACCTGGGCTTCGGCGGGCGGGGGGGAAGGGACCCGGGAGCCGGAGGCGGCACGGGCAGGGAGGCTGTTCGTCGCCCCCAGCCCAGCCCGCGCGGAAGGGGCGCTCGACCGGGCTCCTGGCCCTCGGGCTGCGGGCCGCGGGCCGCGGGGCGGGCCGGAGCGCGGCAACGTGTCTGCCCCGTGCTCCTGGCCGCAGCTCCCCATGCGCTCCCTGGCGTGGCCCCGGCTTGGGGTAGGGCAGCAGACGCGCGGGGCCCCTCTGGGCGCGGGGCTCGGGCGCCGACACCTCTGCGGCGGGAGTCGTGGTGTAGCATGAATGGAGAACCGGCATGGGGGCGGTGTTGCTGTGACTGACACCTCCGGGGTCGGTTCCGAAAGGGGGCGATTCCTCCGGCACCCTGTTCTTTCCCGAGCTCGGGGTTCCTGGCGGGGGTGGGGGAGGCTTTCTCCAACTACCGCCGCTACTTCCGAGGTACAAGACTCCAGTTGTTTGGCCAAAGTGGCTGTGGGCCGAGCACACGCTGCTCTGGGGGCGTTTGCTGCTGAGGTCGTGCTCCCGGGTCCTGGGTACATTCGTCTGAA